CTGTGTACATTTAAGATGCCATAAAATCGTTTTTAATAGAAGATTTAATCGATTCAAAACAGATTGAAACTCTTTTTACATTTTTATGTTTGTGTGTTTCAGTGCATTTATTTGTTGCCCCTGTTCTCTTGCACACAAACTGTTTAATCATTACAACAAATATTTTTGCATAATCTACACATTGCATGTTGGCAACATGTTAAATAAAATCATGGATGATGGCAACGGAAGGAAGTATGCAGCACCAACCAACATCATGGATTTAGTTACTGAGCCTTTGTTTGCATATAAGTAAATAACATACACAGATACAAATGTTCTATAGATATATTTGTAAAAGTGTCTGAGTGTGTGTTTCTATGTATTTAAGAGATTTGCCGAGAAAAAAAGCATCAGCAACACTTTGAAAAGAAAACATTTGATAATAGAAAAATGCTAGTATGCAGTTTAAATTAAGAGAACACAAAAAAGTGCAGATATTTAAACAAATTAACAAATTTTTGTTATCGTTATCCATTTTTATGCTCCACTACTTATGGGGATGGGTGAGTGTATTCATATAGGTGTATGCATATATGGGTTTTATATGTATAACATCAATTTGTTGTGGATATAAAATGAAGATTATCTTAACTTGGCTAAATTTGGTAAAAACAAAATTAAGCAGAATATTTTACTTTTTTTTATTCTTTCTTGTTTGTAAATAGTTCAACTATTTAATGGGAGGTAGTGTGTAATTTGTATGTACGAGCATTAAAATAATGTTGTTACACTGAACGAAAAGAATAGGTTAATACAAATTAGTTTTTAATCAAATAAAGAGGCATTATTATCCTGGAAAGTTTTAGATCAATCTAAAATGATAAACTGCTGCTTATTTTTAAACTAAATTAAATAATTAAAATATAATAAGTGTCTTTTCCCCTCCGCTTTAGAGCGTTTTATTTTCATAATATCAAGCCACGAAAACAGTTGTCATTATTTATCCAGTGTACCCGATTAGTATACATTTAGAATTTATCTTTTTTATTTTTGCTTTTTTAGCCTCTTACCTTTTTATTAACCATTTAAGTGTAACACAATCTAAAAACTGTTTGTCTGCATTTTGCTTCACTGGTTTAAAAAATGCAAATTGAATCACCTTCTATTACACACACCAACAATTTCTTATCGTTTTGAAGCGAAAACTTTCCATAGAATCTATTACACAACAACAATTGAGATTTTAAACTGTTTTGATTTTTTATTCTTTTTAATACAGAGATACTGAGAGAGTACTTACATATACTAATGTATGTATATTAGAGAGGTCCGAAAATTGTCAAAGTATAAATACTGAACTAGAACTGAACTAAAACTGAACTAGAACTGAACTAGAACTGAGCTAGAACTGAACTAGAACTGACTAGAACTGAACTAGAACTGAACTAGAACTGAACTAGAACTGAACTAGAACTGAACCAGAACTGAACTAGAACTAAACTAGACTGACTAGAAAACTGAACTAGAACTGAACTAATGAACTGAACTAGAACTGAACTAGAACTGAACTAGAACTGAACTAGAACTGAACTAGAACTGAACTAGAACTGACTAGAACTGAACTAGAAACTGAACTAGAACTGAACTAGAACTGAACTAGAACTGACTAGAACTGAACTAGAACTGAACTAGAACTGAACTAGAACTGAACTGAACTGACTAGAACTGAACTAGAACTGAACTAGAACTGAACTAGAACTGACTAGAACTGAACTAGAACTGAACTAGAATGAACTAGAACTGAACTAGAACTGAACATAGAACTTAGAACTGAACTAGAACTGAACTAGAACTGAACTAGAACTGAACTAGAACTGAACTAGAACTGAACTAGAACTGAACTAGAACTGAACTAGAACTGAACTAGAACTGAACTAGATCTGAACTAGAACTGAACTAGATCTGAACTAGAACTGAACTAGAACTGAACTAGAACTGAACTAGAACTGAACTAGAACTGAACAAGAACTGAACTAGAACTGAACTAGAACTGAACTAGAACTGAACTAGAACTGAACTAGAACTGAACTAGAACTGAACTAGAACTGAACTAGAACTGAACTAGAACTGAACTAGAACTGAACTAGAACTGAACTAGAAGTAAACTAGAACTGAACTAGAACTGAACTAGAACTGAACTAGAACTGAACTAGAACTGAACTAGAACTGAACTAGAACTGAACTAGAACTGAACTAGAACTGAACTAGAACTGAACTAGAACTGAACTAGAACTGAACTAGAACTGAACTAGAACTGAACTAGAACTGAACTAGAACTGAACTAGAACTGAACTAGAACTGAACTAGAACTGAACTAGAACTGAACTAGAACTGAACTAGAACTGAACTAGAACTGAACTAGAACTGAACTAGAACTGAACTAGAACTGAACTAGAACTGAACTAGAACTGAACTAGAACTGAACTAGAACTGAACTAGAACTGAACTAGAACTGAACTAGACTGAACTAGAACTGAACTAGAACTGAACTAGAACTGAACTAGAACTGAACTAGAACTGAACTAGAACTGAACTAGAACTGAACTAGAACTGAACTAGAACTGAACTAGAACTGAACTAGAACTGAACTAGAACTGAACTAGAACTGAACTAGAACTGAACTAGAACTGAACTAGAACTGAACTAGAACTGAACTAGAACTGAACTAGAACTGAACTAGAACTGAACTAGAACTGAACTAGAACTGAACTAGAACTGAACTAGAACTGAACTAGAACTGACTAGAACTGAACTAGAACTGAACTAGAACTGAACTAGAACTGAACTAGAACTGAACTAGAACTGAACTAGAACTAACTAGAAATGAACTAGAACTGACTAGAACTAAACTAGAACTGAAATAGATCTGAATTAGAACTGAACTAGAACATTTTTTAAACAATTGTATTTCCTCCCCATACAAATCTATATCATACTAATGTATACCTACTCGTATTGTGAAGATACTGGAATACAATTTCGTGCACTGATTACAAAATGCAGTCATATATGAATATGTTCGTTGCATATGTATGTATATTGGTATGTATGGACAAATCCATATGGAGTTAATTTTAATTTCTTAGTTGTGTAGGTACTATATGGACAAAAAAATTATATTAAAATGTGCAATAGAATGACACAGTTTAGAATAAGAGATTTAAAAGTGATCATTTTAATAGAAATAGTAATTTTATGGCACCTATAGAAAATAAACACTTAAACCAAAATTGGATATTTTTATGACAGATTTTAAAATTAACTCTTCCTTTCACTTCCGTAAGTTCAAAACTAAAATGTTTGCATATTTTCAAAATCTTTGTTTATAACTACTAAACCAAATATAATTAAATCATTAACATTTTTCATTAGAAAGTTAAAATAAACAAAACTTATAGATCAAACTATAATTAACTTATAACAAATTCATTCTAATCTTGTGTCAGTCAACTTATTTTATAATTCATTTTGTCAAGCGAATGGGGAATAAATAAATGAATGAACGAATGAAGTACCATACACTTGTAACTTGTGGTTTTTTTGATTTTATTTGATTACAAAGGATTTTTTTATTGACTCAACTTAAGCTGATATACATTAAATTGAATGACATGGCAGACTAAATGAGCAGCAATTTTCAAACATACATACGACTAACAATCAAAACCTCTAAATCCAGGGTTGTACTCTATGAACATATCAATGACTATTTGAAAAAGGCCGTATTTTTCTTAAGTGCGCTCATCCTTTTGCTTGACATGAAGAGCAACCACAATCAAAAACAACTACAAAACATCCTTTTCAATAGAAGTTGTAAGATATTTAACGGATATGTGAGTGTATGTTATATTAAACTATGATTAGACTTTAACATTTATTGTAGATGTTGTTTTTGTTTGGATTTTTGTTGGCTCTTCTTTTGTTTTTTGCTTATCTTTATATTGAAGGACTGAGATGAAGAATAGAGAAAACATGAAACGTTTACTTAAACATTTAAATTTTTTTTTAAAGTAATTTAAAACTTAAAAAAATAATTTAAAATAGTTGCCGAAAAATTCAATTTTTTTAGAATTTATTTAAACAATTTCAATTTCAGTGGAAATAACATTAAACAATAAGGTCCTTAACATTGAACCCAATATATTCTCGTTTGTGACCTAACAACTCCTTACTCCCATCACTGTGATTTATCATCGGATATTTCAAAGCCTAATATAGAAACTCCAATTTAATTCAGAGTTGTCCTTATTTTGATTTTAATTTAAAAAGTATATTTAACTTTATTCCAAATCCAAATGTTGTTATTTATTTGCTGCAGGGTTGGTTGACTTGAAAGTTGGGTTGAATGTCGGGATATCTGGCTGGTTAGTTGATAAAAATGAAGAACTTTTTCCTTTTTTTCTGCTTGTCATTTCATTCATGATATTGAAAGCCAATGATGAGGACAACGACGATGATGATGCTGACAATGATGACAAAGTTGTTATTGTTGGCTGCTGCTGACGACGATGAGTTCGTTTTAACTAAAGAAAAACGTAACGTTTTGTAGTTGATTTCTTAATATCTATCTTTTTTTCAACATCTACAGGGATTTGTTTTTTGGAATTAGATTTTTCCGCTTGTTTGATTTAATGTTGTTTATGAGCATTTGTTTTTCTACTCTACATTTTTATCATTTTTTATATATTTATTCCTACAAAAAAAAAAAAAAAAAAACCAAAAAAGAAAACTAACATGTTGTTTTTCACAGTAATCTGGGTTAAATACACATATAAAAATGTATAAACTAAATAAATAAAACAAAAACTCTAAGATAAAGTAATTTGGAAATTGAATTTTATGTTTGTGTCTGAAACAAAAGGTTTGTTTTGCGAGAACGAAATGGTTTTTAACAAATCCAAAGTAAACATTAGAAACAACATAATTTTTAACATTGTTAAAGTTTTTTTCATCGAGAATAACTTTATTTAACAATAACAAATCAATGACAAAAGAAAAAAGACCTAAATTAAAATTTCACTAATATATGTGCTAAGTTAGTACTTTAAGCGACGTACAGTTTTATACTCATAGCCATTCTCTCCTAAAACTGTGGAATCCTCAGATTGCCCAGCAGTGATAGCTTCCACAGCAGGAGGCAAGTATTCGTTAGCAATTTCGGAAACATCACGACGTTGACGATACTTCAAACGACGAACAGTTCTGTATTCGTAGCCATTGTCACCCAAAGCAGCAGTCTCTTCAGGTTCCTCTACAGATTTCAATTCAGCAACAGCTTTGGTGGTTTCTTCTTCAGCAGGAGGCAAGTATTCGTTGGCAATCTCTGAAACATCACGACGTTGACGATACTTCAAACGACGTACAGTTCTGTATTCGTAGCCATTGTCACCCAAAACAGCAGAGTCTTTAGGTTCCTCTACAGATTTCAATTCCGCCACAGCTTCGGTGGTTTCTTCTTCAGCAGGAGGCAAGTATTCGTTGGCAATCTCTGAAACATCACGACGTTGACGATACTTCAAACGACGTACAGTTCTGTATTCGTAGCCATTGTCACCCAAAAGAGCGGAGTCCTCAGGTTCCTCAAGAGATTTCAATTCAGGAACAGTTTCGGTGGTTTCTTCTTCAACAGGAGGCAAATATTCATTGGCAATCTCTGAAACATCACGACGTTGACGATACTTCAAACGATGTACAGTTCTGTATTCGTATCCATTATCACCCAAAAGAGCGGAGTCCTCAGGTTCCTCCACAGAATTCAATTCAGCTACAGCTTCGGTGGTTTCTTCTTCAGCAGGAGGCAAATATTCATTGGAAATCTCTGAAACATCACGACGTTGACGATACTTCAAACGACGTACAGTTCTGTATTCGTAGCCATTGTCACCCAAAACAGCGGAGTCCTCAGATTCTTCTACAGTTTTCAGTTCAGCTACAGCTTCGGTGGTTTCTTTTTCAGCAGGAGGCAAATATTCGTTGGCAATCTCTGAAACATCACGACGTTGACGATACTTCAAACGACGTACAGTTCTGTATTCGTAGCCATTGTCACCTAAAACAGCGGAGTCTTGAGGTTCCTCAACAGATTTCAATTCAGCAGCTGCTTCGGTAGTTTCTTCTTCAGCAGGAGGCAAATATTCATTAGCAATCTCTGAAACATCACGACGTTGACGATACTTCAAACGACGAACAGTTTTGTATTCGTAGCCATTGTCACCCAAAACAGCAGAGTCCTCAGGTTCCTCCACAGATTTCGATTCAGCTACAGCTTCGGTGGTTTCTTCTTCAGCAGGAGGCAAGTATTCGTTGGCAATCTCTGAAACATCACGACGTTGACGATACTTCAAACGACGTACAGTTCTGTATTCGTAGCCATTGTCACCCAAAAGAGCAGAGTCCTCAGGTTCTTCTACAGATTTCAATTCAGCTACAGCTTCGGTGGTTTCTTCTTCAGCAGGAGGCGAATATTCATTGGCAATCTCTGAAACATCGCGACGTTGACGATACTTCAAACGACGAACAGTTTTGTATTCGTAGCCATTGTCACCCAAAACAGCGGAGTCCTCAGGTTCCTCAACAGATTTCAATTCAGCAGCAGCTTCGGTATTTTCTTCTTCAGCAGGAGGCAAATATTCATTGGCAATCTCTGAAACATCACGACGCTGACGATACTTCAAACGACGAACAGTTCTGTACTCATAACCATTTTCTCCTAAAACAGCGGATTCCTCAGGTTCCTCAACAGATTTCACTTCGACATTAGCTTCAGTGGTTTCTTCTTCAGCAGGAGGCAAATATTCATTGGCAATCTCTGAAACATCACGACGTTGACGATTCTTCAACCGACGTACAGTTCTGTATTCGTAGCCATTGTCACCCAAAACAGCAGAGTCCTCAGGTTCCTCTACAGATATCAATTCAGCAACAGCTTCGGTGGTTTCTTCTTCAACAGGAGGCAAATATTCATTGGCAAGCTCTGAAACATCACGACGTTGACGATACTTCAAACGACGTACAGTTCTGTATTCGTAGCCATTGTCACCCAAAACAGCGGAGTCCTCAGGTTCCTCAACAGATTTCAATTCAGCAGCAGCTTCGGTATTTTCTTCTTCAGCAGGAGGCAAATATTCATTGGCAATCTCTGAAACATCGCGACGTTGACTATACTTCAAACGACGAACAGTTCTGTACTCATAACCATTTTCTCCTAAAACAGCGAATTCCTCAGGTTCCTCAACAGATTTCACTTCGACATTAGCTACGGTGGTTCTTCAGCAGGCGGTAAGTATTCATTAACACTTTCTTTAGTTGATTTCTCTTGCGATTCTTCAACTGGTGGCAAGTAGTCATTATCCAATTGACTTACATCTCTACGCAGTCTATATTTAAGTCTACGAACAGTTTTGTATTTATAGCCTTCATCATTAAAGATGGTCGTATCCAGATTTGATGAGTCTGGTTCGCTAATTGCATTCGTTGTAGAATTCTGTTGCCTTAATCCATCAAAAGGAATAACTGCAGTAGACACTATGCCTACAAAACCTAACAAGTAGAAGATTTTCTAAAAATATATAAAGTTTAATATTTAATGAGCTTTTATTGAACTTAAAATAAAATTGATTACAATTGTACATACCATCGTTATATAGTCTTCTTGTTTAATTTCAGTAATGTTAAATAAATGAAGACTATTTGCTGAATGATATTACCCAATCAATTATCGCTTTATTTATATTAATAAAAACCGTATAATTGGAGTATTTTTTTTTTAAATTGGTCTTAAAGAGAAACGGAGTTGGAGAAGAATAATATATACATATGTGGATACATCACTACCTTTTCAGGTCTTAGACACGCAACAACAAACAAAACTTTAACAAAACTTGTTGTGATAAATGAAGTACTTTAAGTGTACAATGTTGAGTAAAATTATAGCAGCAAATGAGTTTAGTAGAATTAAAAAAATGTTAAGCTTTACAATAAGTAAATTTTTTAATATTAGTTGTTCTATACCACAGTATAATTTTGTAGTAAAACTCAGCTGATCTACAAATGTTATCATAACTGTACTTTTCAATATGTGTTTTTTTGCAATTACAATAAACTCTTGTATGCCGAGGTATAAAAGTGGGAATGAAAGTTGGTGTGTGTGATTAAGTGTTGAGTTAAAGTTTAACAAAAGTAAAACGGTACTTAAGCTTTCAAGTACCTTGTCCAATGTAATATATACATTTTATTGCAGCAACATTTGCTTATCGACTTGTTGCGTATGCAAGAATAAAGTTAGTTCACAAGACAGGTATACCAAGAAAATTGGTATGAATCTATTTAAAGAAAGCAATAAATACTGCTTACAATGTTTTACTGTTTTATAAAGAATTATTTATAGAAAATTTTGACTTTTTTTTACAGAAAATTTTCAAAAAGCACTCTTTATGAAAATTTTTGAAATTTAAAAAAAAAAAAATTGTAGAACATTTTGAAAATATTTATATTCTTGTAATATTGAAAATGTTCGAAAAAATATCTCTTCAAAAAATTTCCCTTTTTAAGGAAATTTCTCTTTTTTTATGAAAAATTGCTCTTTATATAGAATATTTTCGAAATTTTCTCCCCTTTTTTATAGAATATTCGAAATATTATATTTTTTTATAAAAAAAAATTCGAAATTTTCTATTTTTATAGAAAATCTTTTTTTATAGAAATTTTTCGAAATTTTTCTCGTTTTATAGAAAATATTCGAAATTTTCTCTTTTTATAGAAAAATTTCGAAATTTTCGCTTATATAGAGAAAAATTTCGCTTTATATAGAAAATTTTCGAAATTTTCTCTTTTTATAGAAAATTTTCGAAATTTTCTCTTTTTATGGAAAATTTTCGAAAATTTCTCTTTTTATGGAAAAATTTTCGAAAATTTCTCTTTTTATGGAAAATTTTCGAAAATTTCTCTTTTTATGGAAAATTTTGGAAAATTTCTCTTTTTATGGAAAATTTTCGAAAATTTCTCTTTTAATAGAAAATTTTTTAAAATTTCGCTTTATATAGAAAATTTTCGAAATTTTCTTTTCTTATAGAAAATTTTCGAAATTTTCTTTTCTTATAGAAAATTTTCGAAATTTTCTTTTCTTATAGAAAATTTCGAAATTTTCTTTTCTTATAGAAAATTTTCGAAATTTTCTTTTCTTATAGAAAATTTTCGAAATTTCTTTTCTTATAGAAAATTTTCGAAATTTTCTTTTCTTATAGAAAATTTTCGAAATTTTCTTTTCTTATAGAAAATTTTCGAAATTTTCTTTTCTTATAGAAAATTTCGAAATTTTCTTTTCTTATAGAAAATTTTCGAAATTTTCTTTTCTTATAGAAAATTTTCGAAATTTTCTTTTCTTATAAAAAATTTTCGAAATTTTCTTTTCTTATAGAAAATTTTCGAGATTTTCTTTTCTTATAGAAAATTTTCGAGATTTTCTCTTCTTATAGAACATTTTCGAGATTTTCTCTTCCTATAGAACATTTTCGAGATTTTCTCTTCTTATAGAACATTTTCGAAATTTCTCTTCATTATAGAAATTTTTCGAAATTTTCTCTTTTTATAGAATATATACGATATTTTGTCTTTATTTCGAAGTCAAAAGTGTAAGTGAGAACCAAGAGTACTTTTTCCGTTCTTTTAAACGTACTTCTTGAATTTTCTATAATATTGAAACTAGCAAAATAAAATAAAATCAGCAGTTAGAGAGAAGCTATAAAAGGGAACTTTTAGATACTTTTTCGTTCTCCAATAGGTACTTTTTTAATTTTCTATAATATTGAACCTAGAAACTTGAAATTAAATATATAGAGCCCGGAGTAAGTAAAGGGGAACTTTTTGGTACTTTTTTGTTCCTCAAAAGGTATTTTTTTGCATTTCTGTAACATAGAGCCTACAAACATAAAATTAGGCATGTAGAGCTCGGATTAAATAGACTTTTTAGTACTTTTTTCATTACTCAAAAGGTACTTTTTGAATTTTCTATAATATTGAACTTAGGAACATAAAATTATGCATGTACATCAGGGAGTAAATGATAACCTAAACTTTTAGTACTTTTTCGTTCTGCAAAGGTACTTTTTTGATATTTTCTCCTTTTTTAAGGAAATTGTATATTTTTATCCATAGGGTAGTTTATATTTTATTAGGTAGTTAAAATCCACAAATACCCTATTTTTGATGTATTCTAATATTCATACTCATACATGTAAATTATTTATAAAATTTATTTATGTATTTATTTCTACAAAAATACATAGTCTGGCTTTTATACGGAAATATAATACCAAACAATTGATTTTACTTTTTAAATAATTACTGTTAGCTTGAAATTAATTTAAAAGTGCACATTATGTACTTGACTTCTTGTCTTTGTAAATTTGAAACATTTTCACGGTCAAGTATTTGAATACTCATAACAGAAACTTGTATTTGAAGTGATATTGAATAACGAATAAAATTTATAAATTAAAGTTCAATGATCTTAAAATTTGCTAAACATAACAAAGAAAAAGGTTGAATTAACAGATTTATTGAAATTTATTTATAAATAAATGTTGTTATTTTAAAACTTTAATTAAATAATATCAAATTAAAAAAATATGTTTTATATTTCAAGCAAAAACTAAAAAAAAAACAGAATAAAATAATTTTAAAATTTATTTGATTATAAATACATACTCTACAAAATAATAGTCATATCATTATCAGTTAACAATTACAATTTCTACAACAGCTGCTTTTATATTTGTAATATATTAAACCCGGGCTCAAATTCAAATTGTAGCTGTTTAATTTTATTTATAATGAATTCTGTCATTACGCTACAATTAGAATAATACAACATTCCCTTATAGAAATTATAAAATCCCCTTCAATTTTTGCGATAACTTAAATATACATTAAATTACAGTTGTATTTACGCATTATTGTATGTGTGTAAATGAATTTATAAATATTTGTCAATTTTCGCTAATAGTAGCGACGATATCAATGGAAACAAATTTTTATTTTTATACAAATGCTAATTATATTAAATTTAAATAACAATATTATTTTTATATGTATATATGCGTAGTATACGCATTTGAATACATACATATACTTACATACATATGTATATTATTCCTAAAAAGAACTTAGAATAATATTGCTGAATAATTTTTGTTAAATTTAGTTTATCTACACATGCATACATATGTATGTATGTAGAGACTCTACATTGTAAGTTTATATATACACATACATATGTATGAATGTACGCGTAAATTACTACAAATGTTTGTTAGTAAAAAAATGCCAAAGGATTTGTTAAATATAATTAATAAAAAATAAAAAAGTAAAGTCGAACCCTGCCGGACTATATAATACCCTTTACTAGATCTTTTTCGAAATATCATCAAAAAATTGCTGATACTGCTACCATAATGGAATAATGACAAATGTATCCTTTATTGGTACCCTTTTTAGAAATATTTTTTGTACGCAATTTCCTAAAATTATTTTCTATATTTTAACTTGTGATGAATCATTGTTTTCTAGAGTTAGTTAGTTAGAAAGTTAGTTAATTAGTAGTTAGTTAGTTAGTAGTTAGTTAGTTAGTTAGTTAGTTAGTAAGATAGTTAGAAAGTTAGTTAGTTAGTGTTAGTGTAGTTGTAGTTAGTAGTTAGTTAGTTAGTTAGTTAGTTAGTTAGTTAGTTAGTTAGTTAGTATTTAGTATTTAGTTTAGTTAGTTAGTTAGTTAGTTAGTTAGTTAGTTAGTTAGTTAGTTAGTTAGTTAGTTAGTTAGTTAGTAGTTAGTCAGTTAGTTAGTTAGTTCGTTAGTTAGTTAGTTAGTTAGTTAGTTAGTTAGTAGTTAGTTAGTAGTTAGTTAGTTAGTAGTTAGTTAGTTAGTAGTTAGTTAGGTAGTTAGTTGTAGTTAGTTAGTTACGTTAGTTAGTTAGTTTTAGTTAGTTAGTTAGTTAGTTAGTTAGTAGTTAGTTAGTTAGTTAGTTAGTTAGTTAGTTTAGTTAGTTAGTTTAGTTAGTTAGTTAGTTAGTTAGTTAGTTAGTTAGTTAGTTAGTAGTTAGTTAGTAGTTAGTTAGTAGTTATTTAGTTAGTTAGTTAGTTAGTTAGTTAGTTAGTTATTTAGTTAGTTAGTAGTTAGTTAGTTGTAGTTAGTAGTTAGTTAGTTAGTTAGTTAGTTAGTTAGTTAGTTAGTTACGTTAGTTAGTTAGTTAGTAGTTAGTTAGTTAGTTAGTTAGTTAGTTAGTTAGTTAGTTAGTAGTTAGTAGTTAGTTAGTAGTTAGTTAGTTAGTTAGTTAGTTAGTTAGTTAGTTAGTGTTAGTTAGTTAGTTAGTTAGTTAGTTAGTTAGTTATTTAGTATTTAGTTATTTAGTTAGTTAGTTATTAGTTAGTTAGTCGTTAGTAAGTAAGTAAGTAAGTTAGTTAGTTAGTTAGTTAGTTAGTTAGTTAGTTATTTAGTTAGTTAGTTAGTTAGTTTTAAGTTAGTTAGTTAGTTAGTTAGTTAGTTAGTTAGTTAGTTAGTTAGTTAGTTAGTTAGTTAGTAGTTAGTTAGTTAGTTAGTTAGTTAGTTAGTTAGTTAGTAGTTAGTTAGTTAGTTAGTTAGTAGTTAGTTAGTTAGTTAGTTAGTTAGTTAGTTAGTTAGTTAGTTAGTTAGTTAGTTAGTTAGTTAGTTAGTTAGTTAGTTAGTTAGTTGTT